GGATGTGTCACGTGTCAGTTTCCGCCGCTATTCCATTGTGATTTGCACGACAATGACATGTCGCGCAAGAAACGTGATGCATTTCGCTGCACAGGCGCAGCGTTTTGTGCGCAGTTCCATTGGGATTAGCGTTTGGAGAGTCGTGTTTTTGGGGTGTTGGATGTGGCCGTGCCATGGGGATTTGCGTTTCAGGTTGTGGCATCGAAGCTTGGTTTTCATGACAAGTCTCAGCTGAAATGGCGACTTTGGTGGATGGGAGTGTGCTCAGAACGGGTCGAAATCATTCCAAACGTGTGGTGTGGTGCAAATTTTGTTGAAGCGCACATGAGATGATATTGTCACTTTTCGTGGCAGGGGCAGGACTTTGTGCGGGTTTTGAGGCGTGGAAGTGCGATTCTCGTGGCAGGTGCAGGGAATCGTGAGGTTGAGAGGTGTGACGGAGGTGACATTTCGTGGCAGGCGCAGTACTTTGTGCGCGTTAGTGTGGAAGCGGAAAGATTCGTGGCAGGCGCAGGGAATCGTGAGGTTGTGAGTTGCGGTAGAGGTGAATGTCGCTGTCACATTGGGATTGGCGTGTGAGCGGATGTTGTTTGGAGGGGCTGGAATCGCGAAACTGCATGGCAGGGCTGCGTGATGTGTGTGCTCCGATGGGTGTTTCCGCTTGACTTTTGGAGGTATTCTTGTACGAAACGCTCGTTTTGCAGACTTTGACGTGTGAGTTTTTGAGGAAGTCTCGTACGAAAGGCTCGTTTTGGAGACATGACGTGTGACTTTTTGAGGAAGTCTCGTACGAAGCGCTCGTTTTGGAGACTTGACGTGTGACTTTTGGAGGAAGTCTCGTACGAACTGCTCGTTTTGGATGTACAAAGCAGGCCGGACATCATGCCATTTCTTGCGCAACAACCTCCTTTCATTATGTGCAACATTTCCCTGCTCATCCCTGCTCCATCCATGGGATTGCCTAGTCAATGTTATTGCGTTTGCCCTGAGGCTGCCACGTCGCCGATGGCGCTCTCGCAGCAACCACATGTGTCGCAAAAAGATTGTTTTTGCAGTGGTCTCGCGATGGGTTGTACGTGTGATTCATTCGGGTTCGTGGCTTCAACCTTGTTCTTCACCAACTGGTCTTAAGTCGACACCTTCGGTGGGTGCCGACTGGGCAGTGGCAGTGCTTGGGACCTGGGGTGTTTTTTTTCCCGATTGGCCCCGCGGGCTCAGGTGGCTGGCGGGCTGAAGGGTGGACCTTGGGGTGAGGCGGATGTAACCGTGAGGTCTGCTGCTTTACTGGCAGGTGCAGTACTCACAGTGAACCGCGAAGAGTAGCTCTTTCGTCGCAGGTGCAGCTCTTTGTGGATGTGAGTAGTTGAATCACGGGGTCGGTCTCATGCTCTGGTTTGTTTGTTTGCTCTTGTATACATTGTACATATGCTGTCCAACATGTGCCTCTCTCTCTCTCTCTGTGTACACCTTGGCCATCCATGTACTGTTTGTGCACGGTCCAACGAAGCGGCCACACATGCGGAGACGGCGCCCGCTTACTCCAACGAGTCCTCAAAGGCTGTTTCCGTTACACATGTACTGTCACACCGCTGTCACACATGTGTGCTGTCACACTTTGCTCTCAATGTGTGCTCTCATGATGTATGTCCTTTGATGTCTGCCCTCAATGTGTGCCGCCGCCGCAAGCGCTCCCGTATGTATGCTGCGCGCAGTGCTGAGATGAGATGTGTACACAAACATATGGTTGCTCAGCACTGCGGTGGGCTTCTATATGTGCGTTTTTACCTTCGGTGCTTCTTGACGTGTGCTCACACAGGTGTGAATGGTGTACATTGTTACATGTGTGCCTCGTACCGCCGGTTGCACTGTTTGGGGCCGCTTGCCGGTAAACATTTTCCAAGGAAGGGCTGTCAGCTTACAACAACCAGCTGACGGGTCCGATTCCCCCTGAGCTTGGGCAGCTGATGCGCTTACACGAGCTTGGACTCTCCGAAAATCAGCTGACGGGTCGCATTCCGGGCGAACTTGGCCGACTGAAGAACTTGGAAAGCCTCTCGCTGGACCATAACCAACTGACAGGAGAGATCCCACATGAACTGCGTCTACTCAAACGCTTGGAATTGTTGGATCTGTCCCGGAACCAGCTGAGTGGTGCACTTCCCCCGGAACTGGGTGAGCTCGAACACTTGGATTTGTTTGCAGCCCATGGAAACCAGCTGAGTGGTGCAATTCCTGCCGCGCTCGGCAAGTTGCAGAAACTAAAATACCTTTATTTGAACCAAAACCAATTCACGGGTGAGATTCCACCTGAATTCGGCCAATTCAAAGTGATGGAATCACTGTCCGTTTCCAGGAATCTTTTGACTGGTGAGATTCCCCGCGAACTTGGCCAACTCGAGAACCTGCAGGAACTCTTCCTCTATTCAAACCGCTTCACTACAATCTCAGTCGCATTCAACTCGTCTGCTTTGAGACTCCTTGATGCCAGTCGAAACCATCTCAGAGGTGTTCTTGTGATGCAACTCATGACGCCGAAACTCCAAATATTGGATTTGAGCCACAACAAGTTAGCTGGAGAGATTTCCAGCATTACAGATTATTTTTGTGCATTAAATCCCAGAGGCGGAGTCTTGCAAGAGCTGCGCTTGAATCACAACAAACTCACAGGTCAACTACCGCCGTGCCTCATGAAGTTTGAGAACTTGACTTTTCTAGCTCTCAATGACAATCGTTTCACTGGAACTTTGCCCGAAATTGAAGCATTAGAGCTTGCGGTCTTGACCCTGCACAGGAATGGTTTTACGGGTTTTCTTCCAAAGACCTTGTACAGTCTGAGGCACCTTGGAGTTTTGACGCTTCATGAAAACTCGATCGGAGGAAGCATTGATGGCCTCAATTTGAGTGTCCCGTGCCTGGATAACTCCAGATTCAGAATATTTGAGATCGCCACCTGCCAAGATTGCTTTGAGGCTTATGCGGACTTAACAAGCCATCAACTTCGACAAGCAGAAGCCAACTGCCCCAAACTCTTCAACACCTGCCCCACCAAAGGCCTGGTTAATGTCACCTTGCACCGGAATCGCTTCTCGTGTGCCATTCCGAACAGTATTAGCAACATGCATGTTTCTGGCTTGGTGATGATGGGGAACATGCTCGGGGATGGAAGCCCTTTGAATGCTCCTTGGATCTCGAAGGAAGAACATCAACCCTTCCTCTACTATTCTCCGAATATCTGGAAGTCCAATGTGTTCATCTTGACTGGTTTGTCCTTGATGATGACCATTCTTCTTGTGTGCCAGCTCATGCTTCGAAGAAGACTTCAAGAGCTGTCCCGACGATTAGACTTGGACGCCAGAGCACGCGTGGTTTCATCAAGCTTGGCACTGTGACCTGGCTTTTGAAGAGTAGCAATTCCTCTGAACTGACAGGCACATGTTTCTTTTTTTTCCGGTTTTGGCTTGCAAGGTGAAATTCTATCACCAGAATACGCTGTTTGTGTGGCAGGGTATGCAGTACCATTTTGCTGCCACACCTAAGGATAAAGGCTGCAGTGTTCGCCTTCCTATTGGCCAGTCCACTTCTGTTGATCTTCTATTTCGGTGGCAAATACTACAACTGCAACCCGCCCTTGTTGCAAATAACAGCTGCAGATTTCTATGCAGAGCCGTTGATGGAGCTTGGTGTCATCATCTGCTGGTGCTCGATGCAGCTGTTTTTTTGTAGCATCTCGGCTGACATTCCGAAGCCTACTTGCCAGAAGCCCAAGCGCGTCTTCAGTTACAAAAGGAAGCTTGCCAGACTTGCAGTGTGGAGCATTTGGATCTGCATCGTAAGCATTTTGTCCCTGCCATCGATTTTCTACACTTTTGCCCAGTCGACGCCGGCAGAGAACGCATGGGAACTCAATGACAACATGTTGAAGTTCTTCCACAAAACTGCTGCAGTGCAAGCTGTCATCATTGATATGGTGCTGGCCGTCCCAATCTCCAGCAAGTTTTCGAAGCTCACTGGAGTCAAAGCAGACCGATTGCTGATGACCTTCCGGTTGTTTTCCGCGTGGCTTTTGGCCCTGCTCGCTACGACCGCTTTGAACGAGAACTGCTTGGGTGGCTGGAAGCTAGCGTGGAGAGTGTGCCGACAAGGATCAGTGGAGCACAACAAATTCAACTGGAGGATCTATGATGAAGAGATCTTGAACACCTCCCGAGACCTTTGCAAACTCAGCGAGACTTGGTGGTTTGATGGCCGATGCAGCCGCGCCATCGTGGGGAGCTTGACCCCATTTCTCTTACAAAAGCTCTTGACGCGGAGTACATTGCAACCCTTGGTCTTGTGGTTCTTGTGGCACTTCTCTCGATTGGAACCTCCTGGAGACCCACGAGAAGGGCAACATCGGAGGCTGTTTGGCGTTTGGCCCAAAACGACCAAATCTCTGCTGCCCTTGCAACAAATGGCATTGCTCACAACACAGATGGACACTTGCTTGCGCATCAGGACATGGGGAATTTACGCTGATGGGGCACGTCGAATTCCGGACTCATGCAGATAGTTGCAGGGTTTGGGCATATGTGAGAGAGGAAGAGTCTATGGTTTCTCTGTGGTACTGTCTGTAGTCTACTCTTCTTTTTTTGGGGGAAAGACCACTGGAGAACAACTCAGTGAAACCAGCAGCTAAAGAGCTCTGAAAACTCGATGTGACGGTAGCATAACTGGTGACGGTGGCTTCTGAGGCTTCAGATGTGGTTTCTTTAATCAAATGTCGTCCACCAAACATGAGGTCGTTCAGAACAACAAGGTTCTAGGTATAGATGTACACTGCATTTCCCAGCACCTGCCGGCCGCCGAATCTTTGTGTCAATGAGAGGGATGTCTGACATCCAGCGTTCAGTGCCCTCACCAAAGGACGTTCCTCTTGATGTTTTAATTCTTCTTGCCCAAATGTCGCAACGGTGCTCGGGCTGAGGAACTCTTGATGTTTTGGTCACCCTATGTTCCTTTACTTTGCCTGGGCATTCTGGCTGCAGCCGTCACGAACCTATTGATGTTTGACCTCGGTACTCGCGTCTACCATGTGGAACTCCCTTCAGACGAGGTCAACGAGGGTGCTGCATTGTCAGCCTCATACTTGCGGCTTGCATTGAGAGCCGGATCGCTGTTCCAGCTTTGGCATGCATTTAGCACCCAGATGTTTGGACGATATTTGTTGCTGGCCGTTCATCTGGCAGTCCTGGGACCCTGGGCGAAGTGCTTTCTGCCCGTGAGCTTTGTGAAGCGACGTCTTTGGACCTTAACTGAAAGCACTGAGGCGCAACTGATTGAACTCACACGGATGGAGAGTATCTTTGTTGCCGCTGCACACTGATGGAAAGCAACAAAAAAAACAGCTTTGCTTAGCCGTGCGTTCGCCGTGCCTTCTTCGAGGGTGAAAGAACACTTGATTGCTTCAACTCCCGGATGTAAGACAGGTGCGAAAGTGATTCGCCAAAAGCGTTCGGATGAAGATGAAGTTCGGTCGACTTCTCACATAGCAGGTTGAGTGATTCGCCAAACGCAACACGTTCAGGTGTTGATTGAAGAGCATGTCGGGAGTGTTTGCAGGTGTTGGATTTTTGACCTGGCCGAGGCCAGGGATTCCAGTGCAATCCATTGGGTGGCTCGGTCTTCCTGCTCCCGGTGCTTTCCCATGAACAGTTCCTGTTCCAAACACCATCATTTCTTATGATTTCAACTGTCCGAAAACCAAACGAAGGCACTTCTTGAGTGCACCGCATGCTTTCACCAACCGCTGAAACAGCTTCGTTTCTTCGGTGTCTACTCCGCCCACCGGTACACTCCGCCGGAATCGGTCGAGGCGAGCGGCCGGGGCCGACTTGCTTCGAAGACTCGGAGAATCAGAGGCAGATCGACTGCGCGTCCTTTCTGGGGATGGCCGAATTGGCCCTGTGTTTCACAGGGCGTTGAAGTGAATGCACTGTGGGGAGAGGGGTTGTCATCCGCAAATCTACGAAGAAACACACCTTAAGCCGCTTCCAGAAAGTTTCGTGTAAAAGAATTGAACTCTAGCTTCCTTGACCCACAACCTTAAGCAGAGTTTCGGTGAGTTTCCAGAAAGGACACGCTTCTTCTGTCCGGCCAGAAGACGCAGACGGGTCGCGTAGGACGGACCGGACGGGTCGACTGAGACCTCCGTGTGGGGCCGAGGGACGCGGGAGGACACCTCGGAATCCCATGCAGTTTATGGATGGTTCTTTTGATGCTCCGTTCGTAGCGAAGCTTGTTACTAGTAAGGCCAGGAGCCCCCCTTGGATGTAGCATCCGATCGCTCCGTTCGTGTCATGCCAGTTGAGCCCCGAAGGTAGCGTGTGATCGGTCCTGGAGTTGAGTCACCACACCTTTGAATCTTTGAGCTTCGCACCATGCATGTCCATATTTCGACTCTCGAAGTGTCCGTCAATCACATGGCTCCAGCTGCGCGTGGGCCGAATCAGCCGACATCCACTGTTCACCCTGCAAAATCGCAGGAATCGCCGTGCTTTTGAGCAATTCAAGCCGATGATCCATTTTGGTTGGCCGCTTCTGAGCCTCTGTGCGGCCCTGCGTCAGGGCTCCGAGCAGATGAAGCTCGAAGCTTGGACAGAGATGATGGAAGACGAGATCTTCACGCCCGAGGAGTACGAGAAGATGATTGCCAACTACACGGCAGAGTGGAAGAAACATGGTAGCTCTCCTGCATGTGAACCATGACGCATTCAAAAGCGTGCGGTAGCTGCGAGGAATGTGACATATCACCCTTTTTTTACGGAACGTGGGAACAAAGGAACGGACTTAGCTTAGATGTACCCTTGACAGGATTTCGAAGCAAGAAGCAACACCTTGACATTCGTGGAATGTCTGGATCATTCATCGACTTAGGCGTGGAGGTCGAAGTCTTTGCGAACATGAACGATCTTCTTTCAAGCGAAGGTCAGAGTTGGGCATTCCCTTGGCCCGGGGATTGGCTGATTGTGGTAGAACCTCGCAGAACCTGAGTGGTGTTCCAGTACATCCCCTTTCTTTCTCTTTAATACGTTTTCATCCTCTTTCTATCATGCATGTCCTGTGCTTGATCTCTGGCTTTGGGTCCTTTGACAAAGCATTTGACCTCACGAAACAGGCTTCTAATCATTCAGACCAGAGGGAGACTTCGAACGCGGCCCGCACCAAGACGTCGCGCTTCGCGCCACGCGCGCCGTTCACGCACATCCCCCCGCTTGCGTGAACGTTCGGGTCGACCTTCGATGGAGGCCAGAACTTGCCGTGGAAGACTCCTCTCGACAAGGCAGTGGACTTGGATGACACCGAGGATCGGCCTCGTTGCAAGAAGAGGACACCAGAGGAGTGTAAGGAGGTGAAAAAATTGGAGGACGTGGTGCCCTACCTCAAAGACCACCCCTATTTGTATCACGGGGGTGACTTTTGGGCTGCAAGACACATCGACACATCGACCACCCATCGACCACCCCGATCCGGTTTCGGGTCACTGTGGGAAACTCCCCCTTTCAATCGGCGCGGAGAGCGGAGAGCGGAGAGCGGAGCGGAGAGCGGTTCTTGTTTCTCCGCTTTTTTTTGTTTTTTTTATTTTTTTCCGGTTTTCACGGATCGGACATGAAAGCTATTTTTCCAGGGGTTCCACCATGTGGTTTTCCCCTTATTTGTGATTTGTTATTATTTATCCCCAAAGGCCCAAAGGATTTGTTGTATAACCAAACTAGACATGAGTCTTGATCCCCAATGTTTTCTGGACAGAGCCCAGCGACCATGCCCTTCAAAAAACCTTTCCACCCAACAAAGATGTCCACAATTAGTATCTATTTGGAGAGCTTTTTTGAATGGAAGAATGGACGTTGTAAGGATATCACCCCGAACTTTGCGAACGGCGTGGATTTCGAGAAAGGTAAAGACCAAATCACAGGTCCTGCCTTCTTTACCACCCACAACATCTACAACGCGCTGCTCTATGGAAGTAAAGGCATGTTGACATGGGGCCAGCCGGTTCTTGATCTCGAACAGCATAAGAATCCTGAGCTTGCAAGTGCTGGGCAGCTTTTTTGTTTTTTTGACTTGGACAGCCAAGTAAAACTTTAAGACTTTAAGACAGATCGAGTGCTTCGGCGGTTGGTTGGTCGGAAGGGCGGGTGGCTTGCATCCTCCACAAAGTCGAAGTCAAAATGAAGCTCAACATGAGCTCAAATCCTCGTTCTTGCAGCTGTTTGAAGCGACATGTTCCGCTGCATAACACATTTGTGCAACATGAGCTCCTGCATCAACATCATCTCGCGTCTCGCAAGAACATGATGCCCGTAGATGTCTTCTTGTGCCATCCACTTGATCTTCTCAATCCACAAAACCTCGGTGCTTCCGCAAACATCCGCTCCCAGGTGTTGTAAGAGAGACACCTGGGCCCCCTTTCTTGGGCGTGTGGGACTTGGTCCATCCTGTACACCTCCTCTACCGGACCGTCCATTCGGTGCGCACCAGTCCGTAAGGGGGGCCTCCAGAGTGCCATGATGTTTCCGACCGCTAGGAAGGGAATCTATTGGACCGACTTCTACCGCTTGGTCATGGAGATTGAAGTGCAGAAGCTCAAGAACTGCCGAGGCCTCGTTGCTAGCATGGCTTTCCTCAAGAAGGCAGCAGAGCAGGGCGCAGAGCATGGCGTGGAAGAGTTCACTGGAGAGGAAAAGCAAGAGCTTGTGGTAGATATGTTTTTCCATGTTGTTCTTTAGAACATGATGTAGATGGCAACATTTGGGTGACATTTTCCAGGAGCCATCCAAGCTTGCAGTTGTAGTTGCATGTTTCAACATCAAAGACTCGCCCCGATTGAAACGATGTCTTTTTTCTGCCCTTGATGAAAACGGCAAGCTGGGACCCGGCGGTGGCGACCACTCGTCCTGAGGTTCATGGAGACCCAGTGCGGAGGCCACAAGTGTTCCTTCGTGGCGGTGAACTGGAACGAGGACGGCCAGCTGGGCTCAGGACTGCTGCCTTATGAGCTCCTGGGTGGAACTGGGAATTGGATGGATCCACCGGTTGGATGGGTTGACCTGAGTGACCTGCGGTGTTCAGAATCGGGCCGTTGGAGCCGTCTGAAGGATCACCTCTCAACCCCAGAGGACAGCAGGATAGCTATGGTCGGTCTGTCCCGTCACATCGTGACAGCATTCACCAGTCCAACGATTGGGACGGATGGAACCGCCAGGTCTGACTGAGCAGCCTCCAACCAAGTCGGACTTTGTTGGGTCCCCAGTAAGTCATACGAAGAGCATCCACTTCAGTGAAGCAAAGGAAGTTCCGGAATTCAGGTATGTACCGACAGTCAGACGATTGTTTAAACAAGATGGAGCGAACGAACCCGAATGCAAACACGTTCAAAAAGCTACATATGTCCAAATGACACTCTTGTAGGACACTCTTGTGGGTCACTCTTGTAGGAAACTCTTGTGGGACACTCTTACGGGACACTCTTGTGGGACACTCTTGTAGGAAACTCTTGTGGGACACTCTTGTAGGAAACTCTTGTGGGACACTCTTGTGGGACACTCCTGTAGGACACTTTTGTGGGATCACTCTTGTGGGACACTCTTAAGGGACACTCTTGTGAGACACTCTTGCGGGACACTGTTGCGGGGCACTCTTGTGGGACACTGTTGTAGGAAGCTCTTGTGGGACACTCTTGTGGGACACTCTTATAGGACACTCTTGTGGGACACTCTTGTGGGACACTCCTGTAGGACACTCTTGTGGGATACTCTTGTGGGACACTTTTGTGGGACACACTCTTGTGGGACACTGTTGCGGGACACTCTTTTGGGACACTCTTAAGGGACACTCTTGTGAGACACTCTTGCGGGACACTGTTGCGGGACACTCTTGTGGGACACTCCTGTGGGACACT